GACTAAGTAGCTATCACCAATAGAGTACAAGAATATTTAGAGGTGGGCACGGTCCGGGTCGGTTCGGGTAATCGATAGATTTTTAAGAACCGCCGGTTCCATTTACCGAGTAGGTTCGGTCCGGGTATACCAATTTTCAAAATAGGAACCCAACCTTACCAGCCCCGTTTGAAACGGGCCGGTTCGATTCGAGCCCTCGGTTCCTTGTTTTGTAAAAAAATATGACTATGCAAACAAAGTTTCTAGTAAGTTATAAAATTCTCCAATTAATTACATATAAATGTAACCATAATATAGTATTCATTCAAAAGAAAAAATAAGACAACATATTGAATTAGTTAACAAAATATCGAACCACAAAACTATAAATTAAACAACACACAATCAACTTAATTAAAATAGTAATCATCATTCACACAATCAACACTATAATTTAAACTTTTAATAGACTGAGAAGTTTCTTTAATTGGATGTCTTTGTCTAAATACAAGAACATGAAGAGCTTTTCTATGTTGTTAGTAGATAGTATATTATTTTATACCAGTATTAAATATCTTAGAGATTATTAAAATATTATTTTAAAACGGTTCGGTCTGGGTACCCGTTTTTTCAAATTTCAAGACACGTTCGGTTCCTAAATTTTTCAGGACCCGCCCCGCCCCGAACCGTTTGGATTTTCTAACATTAGGACCTGATCCTAACCCGCCCCGAACTTGTATTACCCGGCCCGACCCGGCCTGATAGTGGAATTTAACATGATATTGATGCATTAACATGATAGAGGACACGAACATTGAAATGGTAACAAGCATCTCAAGATATGCCCTTGAGAGTTGAGACCATACTTTCCACTGACCTTCGGCATTAGTTGTTCTATTTGTTTTTTCCTACTCTGACCTCACTATAAGACAAGCTCTTCAAATTTGAATTTTATTTCTCGTGTGCATTCTGAATGTGAAATGTGAAAGGTTAATTCAAGTCTTCTATTGCATCATATGCTAGAATTTTAGGATGTTTTCTTTTGGACTGTTTTCAGTCCCAGACCAGACCAGACTTAAACAGACCAGACCAGACCAGACTTAAACAGACCAGACCAGACCAGACCGGACCAGACTTAAACAGACCAGACCAGACCAGACCAGACTTCCGTAGTTATAAAATACACAGAGACCAGACGTTTACCAGACCAGACCAGACCAGTTCAGACCAGACCAGACCAGACTTAAACAGACCAGACCAGACTTAAACAGACCAGACCAGACCAGACCAGCAAATTTCAGTCCAAAAGAAAACATCCTTAGTGGCCATGGCCCATGGCCTCAAATTGTTCTCCTTTAATTTTCTACTGTGGCTATGGATCAATACGCTTGAGCTGGTTAGATATTGTCTTGGGCCAAGTACTTCTGAACCGATATCTCCTTTATCCTAGTAATTAATGTTCCTCTAACTTAAAAAATACATAAAGCAGATAACGCCGATCAGAAGTAAAAAGCTTATTAGTTTCAGGTTAAAATATTAGGGGATGTTGATAAAGCCTTGTTCATTAAATGATGAAAAAATACAAATTTAAACAGTGACTTTATCTAATATATTTGTTTCAGACACATATTAAAGTAGATTACTTGAATAATATCTAACACAACTTCAAGAATGCATGCTTATACCTTTCGCATTCCTAGCTCGGTTATTTTCTGATCTAAGAAAGGTTAATGATGATCAATTACTACCATTACATAAATTTCAAGATTAAAGCATCATAGTAGCTAATTTTGAGTGCACATACATGCGCTTTTTAAATATTGCATCATTTTATATTTCTGTGCTCTTTTGAAATATGTACTAAATTATTTGAATGCTTTGAATGTGAGAAAATTGGATGTATAGGGATAATCTTCTTCGAACTTAAGCCTTGAGGCCTCTTCTCATGTGTGCCGATGAATCAAGAAGAACACGGTGACTAGAGTTTATTGCTGCAATGGCAACACCTTGATTCTCAAAAGGCTTACCAGTTTGTTGGTTGTACCACTCATGTATAGATTTATAAAGTTGTTCTCTTGTATCCCTTGCTTTATATTGCTACATTAACATTGTATTTATCATTTTCTCTTATAAGTCCTCTTGTATTAAAATTAACATGTATCTATAACCGTTTATTTACTTTCACATGTAAGTTCTATTTAAAGTGATCTCTACATTGCCACATATGCATATCAATACATGTTTAGTTGCAAATAATAGTTATTTAGTTTGTCTCTGAATTTCACACAATTTAGTCATAAAAGTAGTATTCTTATAAAGGCAATTGGTACAACAAATAAGAATCATTAAGTGACGTTGTAGAAAGTGGAACAACCATTCGAATTAAAGATTGTTTGAAGCGAAAAAAGAAACACAAAAGTAAAGAAACAAATTGACTATGTGTTTCATTCTCTTTGGCATGTTGCTGTATTATATTACCTATTCCATGTCATGATTTACTTTGACACAATTATTAATAAAGTGGTTGAAAAATAAAACTTCTGGTTGAGATTTGATAAGATAAAGTGAAATGATAAGAGCCACCTATTTCTTACCAAAAAAGGAAATAAGACATTCATTTTGGGACAATCCAAAAAGAAAAGAAAGACAACCAAAATGAGACGAAGGGAGTATTTTTTAAAATGAGAATATTTTTTCTAACATAATTTGTCCAAGTGATTTACATACCACCTAATTGAGTAATATAAATAAATTTATTGGATGGCTAATTTTACTTGTTTCAAATTTGAATTTGTTTGTTTTTGTAATGTAGAGTCCTGATTGAGGCAGTGTTTTCCTTTGCTTTTCAAAAGCACTTTTGGTTTTTTTTTATTAAAAAAAGCTATATGGAGTGTTTGCAAAAGTAAGATTTAGCTTCAATAAAAGTGATTATAGGGCAAAAGCTGGAAACACCTCCCACCATCCTTCTATCTGCTTTTTTTGGCTTTAAGGTAAATAAAAGGTGTGTTTGCAAGGGATTAAAAAAAACACTTTTCAGCTTTTAGCTTAAAAAAAGCTGAAATTAGTGTTTTCAAATATCTGCTTCTGCTTAAATTAAGCACTTTAAAACCAAAAGCTCGAAGCTGGGGTAAGGTAGCTTTTAACTGCTTCTTGGTTTTCTTGTAAATTATTCCAACTTTAGGGATGATTATTATGATAGATATAATCCCCAAAGTCCAGAATACCCCTTATCTTTTGGCAACGACCAGCTCCTGACGTCTCTTCCTGACCTCCATCTTGCTGGCGCGTCACTTCCAAGAAAACAAGAAAACCAAGTGGCTGCTCAATAACATTTGAAGAACCCTCAAGCGAAGAACAAAATTAAAAATCAGGTCAGTGCAGCAATTGTACAAGTCCGGTAAAATAGGATTGATTAGTTCTGGTGCAACCGATTGCCTCTGAAAATTGCAGAGGTCATTTGTCTAAAAAATATATATTTATAATATATATTTATATGTATTCAGAGGAGGAAGACGATCGAGTTCGTATCTATTTGCAAAAAATCTTTCGTTGCCTTTTACATCAAATTAAAAGGTCAGAACTCTGCCCGCACAAAGCCACTCGCAAATTGGAGACGAACGATTCAGAGGAGCTAGTTGAACAGATCTCCGCCTCTTCCTTTTCAATTTGTCAATTTTTGTTATAAGGGTATTTTTGTATTTTGATAAATTATTACATCAAAAATCACTTTTCTATCAAACACTTCAACTTTTACATTTTAATCACAATCACTTCTATTTTCAAACACTACCTACTTTTACTATAAATCACTTTTCCAAAAATCTCTTAAAAAAACCACTTTTGAAAAGCACAAGCAATCGCAAACACTCCTTTGTGGGTAATTTTATCCATCCCTTTTCTCCTAATACCCAACTTTACCCTTCTCATTTCTCAACCATCCCCAATATCTCTCTGTCCTCTCCGTCTCTGTGTCGCACATCCCCTTCGAAAACTTAGTTCTTGAAGGCTGCTCCAGCCCTCTGTTGTTCAAGTTGCATTGTAAACTATGGAGAAAAACTAGCACTAATCATTACAGCACAAAAGCAGCACCGTACATTTCCAGAGAGTTAAGTTTCGTTTTTGTAGTTCAGATACACATACAAACTAAATTAGAGTTGTAGGTATCAGATTATACGGAAGGAAGGGTTAGAATCGAAAAGGTTAGAATCGAGGAGCTCTGGAGTATGAGAAAGCTGTTCACATGGAAGGAAGCTGGGTTAGGTTATACAGAGCATTTCGATCGATGGGAAGGTGAACAAGAGGAAAGATATTTTTGTACATTCAGAAAAATAAAATTTGAAATCACTTTTTTTACCAAACATTTCGAGCCCGTTTGGTAGCACCAAAATAGGCTGTTTTGGCTGATTCTGCTGAAATTTATGATATTCTGGCTGGAGTGGCTGTTCTGCTGATTTAAGAAAAAAATATTTTAAAAATATATTTTATTAATAAATTAAAGAAAAAATTATATGTAAAAATAGCTAAAATGATCCTCTGCAGTAACCTCAGCCAATACAGCCAGAAAAGTAACTCCAACCTTACTTTTTCTGCTTATTACACAATTCAGCGCGCGAAAGTAAAAGTTACGTGTTTGGTGAAAAAGCTGGCTGATAAGCCTGATAAGCCGAAAACAGAGTTCTCCAAACGGGCTCTTCAACTTTAACTTTTACATTTTAATCACTTTTATTATAAAACACTCCCAACTTTTATCATTAATCACTTTTTCAAAAATCACTTTTCAAAATCACTTTTTGAAAACATAGCCTGAGTCTTTGGTTATATTGTTAATCCTGAGAATACTGACAAGCAAGTGGGCGTGCCGGAGTGGTTATCGGGCATGACTAGAAATCATGTGGGCTTTGCCCGCGCAGGTTCGAATCCTGCCGCTCACGATTCTTTTTTGTTTAAGTATTCTTTACTTCATTGAGTATTATATGTTACTCTCTCTATTTTTTTTTTTTTTTTTTTTTTTTAATTTTCAGTCTTGATCTTCCATTAAAGACAGACACTAACGTCCACGGAGCTCAACGAATATACAGCCAGGAGACGGCATCACTGACGTTTTCCCGTTTCTTTTCTTAAGACTTCGCTGATAGATTTATAGATCGAACAAACATTTGGATTACACATTTGTATCACGAGTAGTTCTCTGATGAAGCCCACCAACCGATTTTATAGAAGGGAATGAAAAGGTCGAGAATTATCAGCTCAATTGTTTTACTTTCAGTCCCGCTGCGATTTCATGGCATCAACAAGCAAAAACTCGACCCCACTGGATGAGGATCAGGGAGAGGCGGTACAGTGCCATTCATTCACCATCTTATTTCCGATTTTCCCAAAAAAAAAAAAAAATATAAACTTCAGTTTGTCTGCATTTGCAGTGAATGCTTCAGAATTATGTAACATCCAGTCAACTAAAATGTTGATTGATTCACTAACATGTCTGCATATAGAAAGGGTGCAATCTACTTGAATACATGATATTTGCAGTTCATATAGTGCATGGTGATCATGATCGGTCATATGCTTTTACCCATTATTTTTGCAGTTTGAACATTTTGATGATTTCACTTTGGCATCTTCATGGGAAAGGTACTACAATTCTTCAAAGCTGTCCCGATTTTTACTGCTTTCTGTGATGAGTTTGGTTGTGCATTAAGGAGTCAAATAGTCCAACCTTACTTTGATATAGGCTCATATCTGAGGTAGAGGCGGTTTTCAGACAATGGCTTGCTGATGGCCCGAGAAATTTATTGGTATGATTGGTGGGGGCTTCCTTATTTGACCTTTATGTGGAGTTTGGTTTTCGATTCTTGTCCTGCTCATTTATACAGTTCTAGATGAACCATACAGACATTTGAAGTATACATTGAAGGGAAAATATCATCACATGATTTATTTTTCTTTAGGATTTATTGTTTCAATGCATATGCCTTGGATATAATACTTATATGGGTTATAAGAAGTAATCTGGAATTCTTAAATCTTCCCTCGATGTCGAATACCATTTTTCACTATTTTTCTCACAAAAAAATATTTGGCATCTCTTATATAGTGTATAATTAATTTGAATTACTATTGTCGATTTTATTTATTCCGTGTTTGTCAATTTTCTTTTTTATTACATTTTAAAAGAAGAAGGATGCTGTTCCATTGGAAGCCCCTGAAGGACTTCATAAGGTCAAATCTGAACTTAAGTGTGCTACTAAAAGCTATCTGATGGAGTACTATTTTGACACTAATAGTGATGGTATGCACATGTTCCATTAAAATATCCAACTCGAAAGGTTTAGTCCTTTCTTCTACCCTAACTTAAATTCAATTCGATCCAGGAAAACTAAGTGATTGGACTCATGCACTGCATGGTTTGCAGCTCTCCTTTGGGGTGAAAAACTTTCTGGTATTTCTCTTAACTTCACTCATTGTTACCATTTACATACTCACCCAGTGCATGTCCTTCTTGAACTTTAAGGAGAATGATATTCTATCTTTAGGTGATTGCTCCCCAAAGTGCAAGTGGTGTGCTTCTTGATAGACCAGAGGCCACCAAGCTGTTAAGTGCAGTTGCTATTGCACTATCTAACTGTTCCAGGTTGGTCACAGTGGAATGACGTCATGGGGAAGGGTTTGGGGGGAGGGGGTTAAAGAGGTTCAAAGTCTAACTTTTGTCTTAAGATGTTTTTCCAAAGTATGTAAAGTTTCGCAAAGCAGGTGACTATTTTTACTTGCAAACTGCAGTTCGTGGCCCGCTTTTGTTCCAGTTCATGATCCATCTCGTAAAGCTTTCATTGGTATTCAGAATTTGGATACACATCTCACAAGAAGATTTGAGGCTGACCGTATGGGTAGTCAGGTTCCTGTGACGCTATTGCACTATGAGGGATTATTTGAGCTATTTGTTTCAAAATTTGTAAGTAATGCTCCAGTCAGAATTTTAACGTTGGTGTGAGATTTTACAACTTTTGGTTTGCCCTTACTCACCTGTTTTAGTAATTTCTTTGCCCTTACTCAACTTTTGGTGTGAGATTTTGCACGATTCTTTGTTTTAGTAATTTCTGAAAACCTCTTTCGGCTATGCCCTTACTCACCAGTTCTTTTGTCTTTTTCTTCAACTTATGAAAATAATTTTGAGAGTGATTCATTGCTATCACGGTATCACCTCTGCTGTTTTAATCATATAACTTTCATGTGATTAGTTTCCAGAGGGGCAGGTGTTTCTATGACAAGCCTTAGTTTGGTTCACCTCTCAACTGAAGAAACATGTCTTAATTCTATCTGTTATGACAAAGTTCTAAATTGAGAAATCATCTTTTATCAAATGGCACCTACAAATTCAAATAGAAACGTGTATGATGTTTTTGCAAGTGGATATAATGTATTCTGTGCGTATATTGTATCCAAATAATACTAAATTACATTAGGTTTATGTTTGAGCTGAGCCTGAAATTTCTTAGGCCAGGCAGTCTCAGTAAACGGTTTATTTTTTGTTGTTGTATAACTCAATGTCTGCATTATGTGTATCCTCATATTTATCACTACATTAGTACTGACAAATATTACTCTTTGTGCATGGTTTGCTCCAAATTTATGCTCAAGGCCTTCAATACGGATTTTTCAATGCATCTTTTCAAAGTGAACCTCAAGGTTAAGCTGACCTACAAGTCGCTTCCCAGTGATGATGAGGATGATACCCAAGAAAATGATGCTGAAAAACTAGAATCTGATGAGGGTCCTATAAACTACAGGCATAACAAGACACAGTGGGATGATGATTGCCCTTGGAGTGAATGGTACACAGTTGAGGACCCAATAAAGGGTACATTTTCCTCTGATATTTTCATCTTTAATTTACTTGATATGCTGAATATTGTTTATGTTTCCCAACTTTTGACATTTTTGGCCTGGTCACAATTACTTAAATACGGAGTATAATATGTAGCTTATTAGCTTATATGTGAGTAAGAGGCTTCATTTTGAGGCTAACGGAGGCCAGCTAATCTGAACTTATAAATTGTAATTTGCAGTTAACTAGATCAAATGGATTCTGGTCTATGGAAATTATAGCGTATTACCCATTCTTTTTTAACTGGGTAACAATGGAGTTTGTAATTTGCAGTTAACTAGATCACATGATTATGATCTACAAATTTTTTAAATGTATTACCCTATATCATAAGATTCACTGTAGCCTTTTTATTTATGCTGTTGCATCTATTGGATGATATCATATATTTCCATACCCTTTTGGTGGTGCATGACATCTATTCTCTGAGTTACTTGTTGCAGGAATTGAATTGTATGCTCTATGGCCTGAGACAACAGTTGGAAGCTCTGCAGATATGGCGGAATTTGAAAATGCTTCACCCTTTGATGCTGAGAAGTGGTTGATATCTCCAAATTTATCTGAGGCTCTGTAAGAAACTATCTTGGTACAGTTTCAAATTATTGTGATATTTCCTATCTTATCCAGACAGACGGAACTGCAATAGTGAAATCTGCAATCGAAGTACTGAAGAATGCTACATATAAATTATAACATGGTTCTATCCTATAAAATAATTAAGCTTTTCAAGTACTATGATATTATCTGGAACATTGCATTTTTGTGCTCTGCAATATAATTGATTGCTATAATCTGAGGGCAATGCATTGTTGTGGTTGGCTTACTACTCATCTTATATCTGTAGAGCAAGTCACCCACTCTCACTTCATGCTAGTTTATTTGCTTGGTTTCTACTTAAGTTATAAAAAAATGCGCAGCCACATTACATGTTTTAATATCCTACTTGGAATTGCCTCACATTCTTGTTGTATCTCTTGATAATTAACCTTGATGTTTGAGAATTGAACTTTTCATACTTCTCTGGAATATGTTGTAATTTAAATCTCTGCTTCATACAGCAGAAATAATGGGAAAACCATTGGATTTGCATCACAATTGCATTGTTTAGTTGCTGCTCTGGATAAGTCATTTCAGGCTCAATTCATAGAAGATTTTGTATCAGGTACGAAAATGTGTGGGTTGCAAATATTAGAATTTTATTATTTATATTTAACTGTTTTTTTGTAAATCTGCATGTCGTTAAGTTAGAAATTACAACTTACAGTGATCTGATTAAGATCGCGCGTGCAGACCCAGTAAGAGAAGGGAAGAGACGGGTTGTTGGGTGTTGGGGGATCTATGATTCAAACCAGACTTAAGAAAAATGAAAGAACGCATGATTCAGAATTAATCTGGTGCCCTTGTCAAGATACGTTAGAATTCATTCTCCCAAAAGTAGTTTAATAAATGAACCGAGAAACTCTATATATAGCTATTACAAGAATCCAAAACAGAAAGGGAAACATAGTTCTTGTACTAGTATAAATGATTCAAAAAGAGAACTGCTAAAACTGAACTCAGGAAGATGTCATCATCATTACCCCAGTGCCGCAAAGGCTCCCACCTACGGTGGTGTAAGGAAGGTCAGATGTACGCAATCTTACCCTTGTACTAAAGCACAAAGAGACTGTGTCCAGATGACCCATAATGAAAGTCGCGTCGAAAATTGAATGGACTGACTGCTGCTTCATAACAAAGAAGCTGATACAAAGCAGAATCTGGGCTTGGAGGAAGAGGGGCAGAATCCCCCGTGGGTTTACTGAGGACGGGCTTGACCCACCTTCGTGGGCTGCTTGTGGGCCATTTAATTAATT